GGTAGTCATACAGGTTCAGAGGATGAAGAGAAAAAATTACCAGGTAAAAGTCTAGGGGTGAATTCACTAAGAATGAATTGTGGCTGCTGAAATCGGCATTTATTTGCATGTGATGTCTGTGTTGTTTTAGTGCCCAATTCACTAAAGGAATTATGCAAATCAGGTAGCACCATGAATCTGTGCTTAACACAATTTGCATGACAAAACTCCCCCTCTTGCAGGCCGGCTTTTGAGTGCTTGGTTTTGGAGGATGCAGCAGACTACAGAGGTCTGGATAATCTTTACTGGGACTTTACAGTAACTGCCACTATGATCTAGACATCTGAATCGGCTCTTTAAAATGGCTTGTACTGTAATGAACTTGTTTACACTTTGCATCTGGATATACTGTATTCAATGCTATTTTAAAGCATTTAGGGCCAGGTTAAACTGAACTGCAGTTGGTTAGTGAATGAGATTTCAGGTTGCAGATATTGCTGGTTGCAGGTTTTTGAGCTGAAATACTGTCAAAATGACACGACATGAGGGTTAAGTATAACTTTGCAGTTAGTAAATGATTCTATCACACTAATTTCATGTTAACACGTAATGTTTTTGTAGGCATACTATATTTTAATGTTTGTTACCCTGTCATATATACTTTCATTATAAATTCCTTACTGTAATCACTATTTTTGCTACATATACAACAAAGGAAGGAGTCGTGTTTTTGCACTGGGTCCTATATGATGTTACGACACTGGCTGGAGAGGTTTTCTACACTCATCTCTAATTGCATAATCAGAGCACTAATTTTAACGCCTTAATCAAACTGTATCAAAGGATAGTTCACTAGCTTGTGAACTGGAAGGCTAGAGAATCTAAAGAAAACAGAAGTGCAATAAAATCCAGAAGACTGGGTATAACGGTATTGTGGTGAATAAATTTTATTAGAACACCCTGAATGCCTTTGTATCTTACCATTAACTGTGTAATGAGGCAAAATATGATGAGAACAAATGTCTGAACGGCATAGTTTTAACAGTTATAATGAATAATGTATCATGGGAAATTCTGGATTTTATGTTAATTAGTCAGTGGAGTAAACACCTTGCTCTCAGGTGCACCAGGGGTGCTACAGCAGCTGCTCGCTTAGTTCTGGCTCTAATGAATTTGGCAAGAGGTGATAAAAGATGGAGTTTCTATAGTCTCGCACCAACTGACCATGTTAATGAAGAACTTCAATCCTCATTCTCACATACAGTGTGATTAAACCTGGTGTTATGAACTAATGGTAAAGACTCCTTCACAATGGTTCCAGGTTTAGTCACGCAACCCATGAACTGGAGGACTACTTATAACATATTCTGGCTCTGGCATCATTTACTCACCGGAATGTCATTCCAAATCCAAATTTGTTTTGCTTTCTAATGGAATGTGCAAGGAAACATTTTGCAGAATGCTAATGATGATTAATTGATTTCCTTACAATTAAAGCATATGATGACCAGGGGCTACCATGCAAAATAGAAGTTTTATACTTAAGTTGTCATATATGACACATGCTATGTTCAAAGTCGCCTAAAGCCATATGATAGCTTTCAAGTTACACACTAAACATCTTGGAAAGTTCCCTATAATAGCTCTTAAAACTCATCCACTCTTGGACAATTTAAAACTTGGCACATTGCAATCACTTATGAGATATGCGTGGTCTAATGGCACCCAACATTAGTTTGAAGATGACTTGACCCATGAAAACACACTCATATTTTGAGGCAGAAATCATGACGGATGTCATGCTGTGCAGGTCTGGTGGCCTTGTGTGGAAAAACAATGCTAAATACTTTCAAAATTATGCATTTATAACAAAAAGAAAACATCTTTATACAACCTTTAAATTAAATATTAAATATGGGTTCAATTGGAACAAGGATATACAAGTTTGTGCTGACCACAGAGTATGTTGTACAGTGAATTGGCTTAGTAAATATAACAAATAATAATAATACATTTCAACATTAGAGTTTAACGACATTTTGTTCACATTTTGTATGGTAAGCAATTTCAGTGTGTTGAGTCACCATTTAAATGTCCAATGAAAAATATGCATACTGAATCAAAATTAATGCATGGAACAACTGCATTAGAATTGCATTAAGGAGATGCACTGAATATCAATCAAACACAAATCACATGAGTCACAAACAAGTACAGAATTAACAGTCCCTTAAAAATGCCCAGAAATGTGGACACAAATAAGAGTTCTATTGTTCTAAGAGCGCAAAATGTTAAAATGTAAATCTCAATGAAACATCAATAACAACAGCAAAAAAATTAAAGTCTTGGTAGTCTAAGCAACACTAAAAAAAACTTTACTGCAATTCCCAATTTCCCATAGTAGCTATCTCATGTGTTATCAGACAGAATTTAAAATGCAGGAGGGCATTGCAATTGATAAGGCAAGGCTGTACTGTGCTGAACATATTCCAGAAATGTATGTTGCTATTCTTGATCCCTCTAAGACTTCCCTTGAGCAGTAAACTCGAAAACAAGAGAAAAAATAGAGATTGAAAAGCTTATGTTGAGTGAAGAACATCTCCCAAGTTGTGACTTACATTATTTAATATTGTAAGAACTGACTTTGGCATTTTAGTTTTTCCATCTTCTGAAAATATTCTGAAAATAGCCTTCTCTAAAAAAAATTGCATGATTATTGTTGTTGACACTAACCTTTGGTAACATTATCCTTTTTTGCAGTAATGCCAATGAAGCTACTTTCAATTGAATAGTGTGTGTGTGTGTGTGTGTGTGTGTGTGTGTGTGTGTGTGTGTATGAGTAAAGAGAGAAAAAAACAGAGCATGTTCATGAAGGGTTCAGGAGTATGTGACTTTACATGATGCTTTGATATTTAAATTCTCTCACTGGATGGAGAATCTGACATGCGCCTGCTAGACAGATGCTGAAAAACATGGAAGGACCTGACAGACATGTAGACGGAGAGATGGACAGATGAGGGGTCTGAAAGACAAGGGGATAGACAGACAGGCAGAAGACAACAGAGTCTTACCTCTGTCGGAGATGCTGTACCTGTTTGGCAAGCTGTGTGTGTAGGAAAACTATCACCTTATTTCACTCCAGATGGAATATTCATGCTTTCTGGTTCTCACTTCCTTTGCAGACACACCTGCACACACATACACGCACATACGCACAGATTTATCAGACTCTTGTCTTTATATATCTCACCACTATTTCTGCTTTTGCTTACAGCCAAGGCAGGTCCCGCCGAATGCATGAAATTATTACTTGATTAGAGAGTCTTCTATGGAAATTTGCGAGGACATTATCCAGTAATAGATGTCCTATTTGTAGATATGCTCAGCTGCAGTTGTAAAAGCATTTAAAGAGGTCATATGATGCTGCTAAAAAGAACATCATTTGGTGTATTTGGTGTAATGAAATGTGTTTATGCTGTTTAAAGTTAAAAAAAAACACATTATTTTCCACATACTGTACATTATTGTTTCTCCTCTATGCCCCGCCTTTTTGAAACGCGTCGATTTTTACAAAGCTCATCGGTCTGAAAAAGCGAGGTGTGCTGTGATTGGCCAGCTATCTAATGTGTTGTGATTGGCCGAATACCTCAAGCGTGAGACGGAAATGTTACGCCCCTCACATACTGTTGATCCCGTGTCCCGGCCGGAGTGATGAGGCAAAAACATTAAAACCCATTACAAACCAGGCATTTGTTGCATCCAGTGGGGACATAATTATTGATTATAATGACTTATACTGTCTTTTACGCGTTGCGTTGCATTGCATCGCGCCGCGTAAACATAAAACTCTGTCTGCATTTGTGATCAGAGAAATGACAAACAACAAGTGCTACTCTACTGCCCAAAACTCGCGTTTGAATCATCAGTGGCAAATCCTTTAAATGAAAACGTACTTACGTGAGTCAGAACTGCCGGCATTTTAGTCTAACGTTACTCTCCCAGGATCAGTAAACAGTCCTCCATAAAATGTGCTGCACATATCTGGATATTTGGGTTAAACTGTTCTGGAACAGTGTTGTAAATACCACTGATTTGTAGTCGTGTCCTCTTTTGGAAGACCAAACAAAGTAGTTTCGCTTTCACAACGAAAAACACAGCGGCCTAGCGTGAGGGGAAGCCCCGGCTTAGCGTGCGCTGAGGCCGGGATAGAGTGAGCTGAGGCCAGGCTAGAGTGAGCTGAGGCGGCGGGGTCGAGAAAGGCGCGCTCGGCGGATCCGACGAATGAGCGGCAACCACATGCTGAGGCCGGGCTAGAGTGAGCTGAGGCGGCGGGGTCAAGAACGGCGCGCCCGGCGGATCCGACGAATGAGCGGCAACCACATGTGACGGACCCCGATTCTGCTTCATCCATGGTGAAAGTTGATGTATCCCCTCAGCGACCAGCACAGATCAGCTCTAGGCATGACGAAGCGGATATTGTCCTCTTTTGGAAGACCAAACAAAGTAGTTTCGCTTTCACAACGAAGCACACAGCGTCTTCACGACATGGCTGCAGCGTCAACAAAACTACAGTGAGACTAAAAGGTACGCCTTCTTTCTTTGCGTGAACATTTGGGCGGCGTTATGCAAATCTTCCCACATAGTGAGGTAGATATGTGGGGGCGTGTTAGAACGAGCCGTTTTAGGTAGGTGTGGCTGACTCTGAACTTTTATAAAGAATATCTCTTTGAATTTGAGACTTTAGTCTTTGCAACTTTACAGATCTTCTTTATGCACCAAGAGCTTGTAACACTCCAAAGACAAAGGAAAAATTGAAATCGCATCATATGACCCCTTTAACATCAGATAAGCTAGCAGATACTGTAAACCAGGGTTTCGCAAACAGGGATTTATGAGAGAACTGCAAGCAGTTTGTAAATTAATTAAATCAAACGTAAAATTAAAATAAACACAATGGCCACACACACACAAAAAAAAATCGAAATACAACTGAAATAGCAATGTATCTTATGAAGCATATTGTCTGTATAGTTGTATTGTAACTTGTAATGATAGTTGGTTCTTGTAAAAAGTGAACTAAAACATAAAGTGAACCTTAAAAGTAACTATTTCCATTTCCATCATTTCCATTAGCAATAGTCTTTGTTCTTTGGATCTGGATGTCTTAGTTGTAGCAAGCCATTTTCATATGAAATGAAATGTCATAATCGAAGTTCAAATTGCAATAGTCATGCAGAGTCATGCAGCCTTATATAGAGACATCAGAAAACCATGAACATGCAAATGTGTATAAATTATGAAAGTGAAAGTGACATGACGCGTAGCCAAGGATGGTGTCCTATACTCGGAATTTGTGCTCTGTATTTAACCCATCCAAGTGCGCACACACACAGCAGTGAGTAGTGAGAGCACACATACACACACAAACACACACACACTGTGAACACACACCCGGAGCAGTGGGCAGCCATTTTTTGCGGTGACGCCCAGGGAGCAGTTGAGGGTTCGGTGCCTTGCTCAAGGGTCTCACCTCAGTCGTGGTATTGAGAGTGGAAGAGAGCGCTGGTCATTCACTCCCCCCACATACAATCCCTGCGGGTACTGAGACTCGAACCCGCGACCTTTGGGTCTGACTCTCTAACCATTAGGCCACAACTTCCCCTGGTGAGTCTTTATTGAACGATTAATTTAAAATATTTACTTGAAGTACCCCCTGACATTTAAAGTCTGAGAGGTTCTGCTGACAAAAAAGTTTGGGATCCCCTGCTGTAGAAGAAGAACCATCTTCCCATTCATTAGGTGCTGATAGTGATTTTCTTTATTTTTTATTTTTGAATACTATGTATAGAATGCGTCTTCTACCTAACAGATATGAAATATGTGTCTTGAGGAATAGTACCTGTACTTGTCTGAGCAACAGCCCTAAGCAATGTAAACAGGAAACACGGGAGTCAGGGGAACGGCCAATCCTGTTTCCTGCAGCACTTTTTGGTCGCTGAATCTGCAGTGCCATGGCAAAAACAAACAAAACCTGCCTGAGCTGTGAGCTTGCAGTTTGCATTAATGTGATGAATTATAAAAAATGCCTACTGTAATTTTATACATAGGCATCATCATGCCTTTAATACAGTGTAATTGGTATTGTCCCATTTACAAACACGAGTTTTATGAACTGTTTATTTTTTTAATTGCTCCAAAAGATTTATAGACTCATCAGTTATTGGACTGAATCTTTTATATGTTGGGGTTTACTGACATTAGATTGGCTGATATGTCTTTGGGGGTGGGGTTTGGAAGAGGGGGCGTGGTCTAATTCAGTGTTTAAGTCCCTGTCCCAAGTGGCACACTTCATGTGCACTTGCAGTCTTGCAGACTTATAATAGCCAGCGCATGCGCGCATCCGTTAAGTCCATGAGACTGTAGGGTGTCCCATTCATCATTTTAGCTTTCATTTTCCAAAAATGGCTGAAATGGCTTAATTCCCCCAAAACATGCACTCGTCCTCTCCTTTTATTGTTCACATACTCCTTTAACAATCCTTTCTGAAAGCCATTACTCTCATTGACAGAGATGTAGCATAGATCTTCATAGAGGGAAGGAAACACTCTGTAATAAGATAACGTCTTAGGGCTACAAGAGCAAGCTGCCTTTTCTGCTCAACTGCAAATTCTGCTGTATTACAACAACAAAAGAACACCATAAATACCCTGATTCTGTAGTGACCCCACGAGGCTTTGTATAGTTAAACTTGCAAGTATGTCTTGACAAAACACCAGAGAGAACATGCTAGTTGGCCAGCCTCACTAGAAGGTTTTGCTGGAGAACAGCAATTCTGTAGCTCAACATAGAATATGGTGCTAGCAATGCCAAGGTCATTAGTTTGATTCCCACAGAATGCAAAAACTAATTAAAAAATGTTTAAACATTGAATGCAATTTAAGTTACTTTGGATAAAAGTATCTGCCACATTGGTTTGTATATACTGTATACCGTTCAAAATGTTGGGGTCAGAAAGACTTAAAAAAAAAAAAAGAAATTAATACTTTTATTCAGCAAGGATACATTAAATTGATCAAAAGTGACAGTAAAGACATATAATGTTACAAATGATTTCTATTTCAAATAAATAGACTTCCTTTGAACTTTGTATTCAAAGAATCCAGAAAAAAAAAATTCACTGTTTCCACCAAAATATTAAGCAGCACAACTGTTTTCAACATTGATAACAAGAAATGTATCTTCAGCAGCAAATCGGCATATTAGAATGATTTCTGAAGGATCATGTGACACTGAAGACTCCTGAAATCTTAAAGGGTTAGTTCACCCAAAAATGAAAATTCTGTCATTAATTACTCACCCTCATGTCGTTTCAAACCCGTAAGACCTTCGTTCATCTTCGGAACAAAAATTAAGATATTTTTGATGGAATCTGAGAGCTGTCTGACCCTGCATAGACAGCAACGCAACTGAAATGTTCCCAAGTCCAGAAACGTAACAAGGAGATCTGTAAAATAATCCATGTGACATCAGTGGTTCATCCGCAATTATACAAAGCTACGAGAATACTTTTTGTGCACAAAAGAAAAAAAATAACGACTTTATTCAACAATTTGTCTCCTCCGCATCACCCTGTAGCGCCATTTTGGAGAGTATCAGCTGGACGTAAACAACGTATGCTGTATAGACGAATTGTTGAATAAAGTCGTTTTTTTTTTTTGCTTTTGTGCACAAAAAGTATTCTCGTAGCTTCGTATGATTACGAAGTACAAAGGATTTTTTAACGGTCGCTTTGTCACGTCCAGTGTAGACAGCCTCAAGTTGCTGCAAATGTCGCATCCAGTGTAGACAGCGTTAGATTTTCAGTGATTTGTGCTTGAATGAATATCTACAACAAATATATTTAATCTCTTTTACCTGATCTCTGTAATCGAACAGTCAAGTACATGTTCTGCACCAAATAGTCGACAAGTAAAAACATTATTCAAAGCAAATTGATTTCTCTTTGGCTGCTATAGGCAACAATGAAAATGTACTATCCCACTGAACCCACTCTCCTAAATCTCATCGTTGCAACTGAATGCATTGGGTAGCACTGACATTGAGGTGATGAAAGATAATGGCATGTGCTTTGAGATGCATCCAAGTCTGGCGATATTTTGATTCTTATTCATATATATATTCAGCTCTCATATTTTCATGCATCCTGCCAGATGAGGTGCAGCTTTTACAGTGAATAAAATGTGAAGCGCTTCAAGGTACTTGATCACTTATCAGACCAGTATCTTATTATGCTGCCTGAACACATCTGAGCATGATTATCATCCCTTGTTTTTCTGAATAAGAACATGTGAGGTGATAAACATTTGAAAGCCATTATATAGACATGTGCTTTACTCTAACTTCAAAATGGTTTCTATGTGGCACCATACCTGGTGAGGAAAAATGGACATCTCAAATGAGCTGTCAGTGTCCAAAGGAGAGAGAAAGTTCAGTTCTGTACAAACCAAGAGAATATAATCAACATTTTGTTGTCTCAAACTTAAGGGAGTAAAAGGGAAAGAGTTGTAGAATGGGGTTGGACAAAATGTGAACACCCATTACTATAGGGTTTAATGTCATTTATGTAAGCTACTGTGAAAAATCGTTGTTATTTTTCGTGAATTACTGCAGCAAAGTGACAGCTAATTCTTAAAACTTCATTCACAGACACCAATGCAAAAATGCAAAAAAGTGTCATATAAAAACTGAACAGTCGGAGCACCAAGACGAACTTCAACATCTGTCCTGACTGACTTGAATATTATCAAACCACTGTGGGCAGTTTTGGAGAGAAAAGTGAGAAGCTGATTCCCTTCTTCAACATCTCTGAAGCAACTGATGCTCTGAGAGATGACATTTATCTGGAGACTAGTCAAAAGTTGTATAAATCTATTCTAGGCAAATGGTGGTAAAATTCATTAATAAAGAAATATTGCATAGTTCCCAGGGGCCTCATTTATAAAATGTGCGTACGCACAGATTTGATCTTAGAGTGTGCGTACGTTAAAATCCACGGCAACGTTCATATTTATAAAAACGGTCTTTGACGTGGAAAAGTACTTACCGCCACGTCAGGGTCTGAGCAGGCGTACACACTTTTCCTTGTGGCAAAGTCGGAGTACTGCAACTATTTCAACATCTAAGCTGCAATAATAATAAAAGTGGTGTACGTGCAAGCACCGAATTCATCATAAACAACAAAGATGCAGTATAAAAGATTAATTGTGCAGTGTGTAGTCAGATTTTTTATTAACGGGAGCTTTTGCGAGATTAAACTGACCTTTTTAGTAGCCTAATGTTAAGAGTTCTTTACTCGCTTTCTGTAGTTTATTCCAAGTTGTTTTGTTTTTTGTTTTTTTTGTTTTTTTACAAGAGAACTTGCGAAGTCTTGATTTACTACTAATGTGTAAAATAGAAAAAAAAAATGCATAAATGACTGTTTTGTCTGTGCAGCCTATAAGAATAGGCCTATGTCGTGCAATACAAGATCATTTGCAATTTATAAATGTCACATCTGGAAGAGAGGCGTAGGCACGTGTTTTTGTGCGCACGTTCGTTTTCTCTGAATCGCACTTCCGCACTTTTGAGAAATGATCTTAGAACAAATTTAGGATGGTTTTTACGCAACATTTTATAAATGAGGCCCCAGGTGTTCACATTATTTTGTCCAACCCCTGTAGTTGTTACTTTCATAAAGAGAGAGAACAGCACTCTAACGCTAAGATAAACAGAATTAGCATTAATGTGTGGTCGCATTACTAAAATTTTGGTGAAATTTTACACACACAAAGGTCCATTGTATATTGTCAATAGTGTTGGAGAATGTGGCGAATCTGTAAAAAAAAACCTGAACCCTTTGCAAAATCTGCATGGGGAAAGCTTTCACCCATGTGAAATTCCAATTTTGGGGATTCCTAATTAAAATGACTAGTGATTTCACCAGCAAACATTTGCATAACGAGTAATTTAGAGTCTGTACATGCAGAGTTTTTATGAATTGTGATTGTTGGTTGGATAGGGTTAGTAGCAGCTTATAAAAGTTTTTTTCCCCCTGTCAATAAACAATTGTGTTTTTAACTTCACTCTCTGTCCCTCTTAACCTCTTTCTCTTCCTGCATGGTTAACCATGCCTCATAGACACTTTCTGAATCAGAATCAGCTTCTCAAGGTGGTCCATAGTGGTTCACATTTTCCCACACAGACTTTCAGATGCACACCATGCACAATCCATCTTGGGTTTAGCACTCTTACCTGACCTGGATTCGTTGCCATGGTGAAATCCAGTTACTACAGAGGAGACTTGCTCATCGGACACTTGCACATCTGCTAATGAATCTAAAGATGTGTTACAAGTACATTAACATAGCTGTAAGCCAATCCCATTCCACTTCACAGTGCTTCTAATGAGATGAAGAGCAATGAAGGAATTAATTTGTAATTTTTCTCAGTTAACAAATGCTAAACAAAAATATGCTATGTATTGATGCTAAAAAGAGGTCACAGCAGATCCAGAGGCTTCACAGTAGTATGAAACTGTAAGAAGAACCATCTGTAACCACACACAGAGCAGTAATCCATAACATTATGTCTCAGTATCTCACGCAGGGGTGCTGTCAGACAACATCATCATTACAAGACTGTCATGAGACATCGTCACAAGGAGACTGTCGCCTCCGCTCCTCTCCATTGTCACTCTAAACCCTCTGCTGGCTTTTGTCCCATGTTGTTGTCACAGCCGTGCCGTGTGCATGTTAGATAGCTCTATCACAGAGCGTTTGAAGGACACTCCTCGGTTGCGTCTAAATGAGCCAGAGTTTCTCAGTAGCTGCTAAATGGTGGAGATTTAATTGATTTTTTTTTCAGCACTGCTAAAAACGCTGGCCGCATTTTAGCACAGCATCAAAAAAGGTGTATGAAAGAAAGAAGAAAAAGGCAAATCAAGGAGGGCTGTAATATCTGAGGAAAGCCATCGCCTAGTATCCCTATTCATCTCAATGGCAGAACCCACTGAAAGGATGCAATTTCAAATCTGCCATCTTTGCTCATGGGACTACAGAAGTTTTTGAGTGAATCAATCAAGTCGTAAATGCCATGTGTCTAACTCTGTGATATCAAAAATAGCTGACAGTGACAAATATAAGTCCATACAAAAAAAAGAGAAAAAGTACAGTGTAATGTGAATGACAGAATTCCTGCATTTCTCTTTAGCTGATAGATTAATTTTGGACACAAGTCCACACTGTAGTATACTGTAATAATGTATATATACGTATGTAATAATCTAAAAAAAAAAAATGATGTGAGTTTGATCAGAGTTGGAGCTACTGCTGCCTTCACATCTTAAATATGAGTTTCCTAGTCAGAAATTGCACTTAAACATACTCTAAAGTCGTATGTATGACTGGGAACCTCAGAGATAATTGTGATTCCTGAGTTTCCAAGTTGGGTGGGCCATTAACATGGCAGAAGGGAGATATAGTGCTATAGTGCTATAATGCTATAGTGATTGGTACTGTATTTTTTATTTGTCTTTTACCACAACAGCTTCATTGCCTTGTCAAGTCTTGCATATTTAGACAATTTTTTTGTGCCTATATGAAACTTTTTTTAAAAAGTGCGTGAGTGACATGACGTGTGGCCAAGTATGGTGACCCATACTCAGAATTTGTGCTTTGCATTTAACACATCCAAGTGCACATACACAGCAGTGAGTAGCGAACACACACCCTGGAGCAGTGGGCAACCATTTTTGCTGCGGCACCCAGGGAGCAGTGGGGGTTCAGTGCCTTGCTCAAGGATCTCACCTCAGTTGTCGTATTGAGGGTGGAAGAGAGCGCTGGTCATGTGTGTTTGTCTGTGTGTGTGTGTCTGTGTCTGTGTGTGTGTGTGTGTGTGTGTGTGTGTGTGTGTTGACAGATGGCAGCAGATAAGTCAAATCACTAAACTATTTGTGGCTATGGCCTGAGATAGGCAAGGTGGAATACCACTGAGAAAAATAAATGCACAGCCTGCCTTTTTAGAAGCTGTGGTGTGTCTAAATAACACTAGTTATTTAGAGTTTATAGCTGCCTTCTGCACAAATATTACTTGCACAGATGCCTATTTTCATTAGCACCTTCAGAGTTATTAAGCACCCCAATATAGATAATTCAGTGGCCGCCACTGGAAGTTAAGAAGCCTTCTTAATCTAGGGGTTGGATTGATTGGTAGTTTAGAGAGCCACAACTAATTGATATGTAAAAGGCAGCATTGACTGCCCTGTTGGATCATTAACATTTAAATGGAAATCATTTCATTAAAAAAAATCACTCAAAGCTATGTCTAAACACCCACTTGCCCAGACACAAATACATCTAATTAGTTTGTCACTATTGATCTGTTTGGTATTTAACTATTCCCCTCAGGAAATATGTGTAGGTGGACCACCCAGTCTCTTAGACACACAAATTCACAGCCCAAAAATATTTATCAGTGTCTCATTCCTGAATTTCAATGTGTTCATTAAAATAATACACATACAGAGAAAGATAATAGGACATTTCATTATCAGGCATACGGTAGAGTGAGAGGACGGTGGAGAACCAGCTCTGTGAAAGAGAAATTCGCTTATTTTCCTGAGGCTTTCAGAACATCTATTGGTCCCACTGAAACAAATTAGACCATGATCCTCCCTGAAGTTTCATGTATGCAGTGTATGTTTGTGTATATATAGATCTGCAGGTCTTGATGCTGCGCCTAGTTGATCAAACTCTTCTTCTGTTGCTTTGTTAGAGATGAAAGTCCTGCAAACCTACCCACAAGGCACCACTACCTAAACATGGGGCTTTTTACAATATTTGTGGAATGCATGCGAGAGCCAGTAAATCATTACAGTTCTGTTGAGTGGCCAAATCCCAGTGGGTCCTGGAAATGTAGTCATTTTTCATGTGTCACCAACAGGAAATCAGTCGATAAATGTGTGCATCTGTTTTGCTGTCCCATGAGAGTTATATGGGTGAAGTTTAGTTCCACGGGAGAAGACAAAGATGCTGTGGAGTCCAAAAATAATATTCCAGCAAACATAGACAGACAGACAAAAAAACACTGGAAAAAAAAAATCACATTCTTATTCAGCATTCTTGTTTTTCATCAAAAATATCGAATTATCCTCGACATGATATATTTACTCAAGGACCTAATTGTGAGATTTTTTTTTTCCAGCGGACATATTTGGATACATTTTAAGCATAAATCTACAACAGTTTAAGGAGATTTATGTCCATTAAAAACATACAAATGCTGATAATACAATTCTCACTCCCAATGCGTCAAAAACTGAAGCATTGTCAACTGCCACTATTAAGACACTAAATTATCCTATTTAGACATTTTTGAGCACCTAACCAGACCCCTACTGCTAAGCCTAACCATTTGTCAATATAAAACAGGCAGATACAACTAAAGTCACAATTTATTAAAACGTCCAAATGATTGCTTTGTGTGAGGAATAGACCCTAAACTGATCACCGTCTCCAACATTTGTAACACTTTCTATACTGTTTTTTTTTTTTTTTGGTCAGTTTTTGCAATAAAAACTATTGTGACTGCTTTTATCTGCCTGTTATATTGTTGAGAAGTGGTTAGGTTTAGGGTAGGGGTGGGGTTAGGTGCCAAAAAATCTAAAATCTAAATCAGTTCTACTTTTACAAATGTATGCAAAGAAATAAATGCATCTTTATCTGAAGCATAAGGCAGTTATGAGAGTTTCTACTTTGTCAATATAGTGATATCTATAGGTGTATATTTAGCATCATAAGATGCTAAATGCGCTCTACCATGATTCCGTTTTTTACACCTTAGGAGTAAGAATGGGTTGAATAATAACTGAAAAGCAAAATAGTGTAAGAGATAAGACTTGTTTTCTGAAAATTATGAGGCTTTTTTTCTGTAAACGTAAATCTCAATAAATGTAGGTTCATTCATGCTTAAATATTTAGAATACAATGAAAACATATTCCCTGAAAAGTAACAATATCAAGCAATCTTGTTTTAAACATATTTTGATATTTTTGCTGGTTAGTAAGACAAAAATACTGTTAAAAATGCTTTTTGCAGTGAAGTACATTTACAATCATGATCTTCTAACTAAAATGATATTGCAGATATCATAGCTCTTTATGTGTTTGCACATGAACCCATATTTATCTTTCTACCTTTATCTTTCCTTTTCTCTGATATGCTCTTACTTCCCTTTTTATTTCTCTCTACCTCATTCTATATCTCTCTGAGAAGATTCGATTGGCAAGACACTCTAAAGGAAATGAGATCTGACCCTCTGCATTTGGCCCGCTCTGCTCACACACTCAGAATCATAATGACTCCTTCTGAAAGCCAGCACACACAGGGTGTGAATGTGTCTGCATGCATGCATGTGCCGGTGGGTATATATGCACGTGTTTGTGTATGCGTATAACACTCTTACCGTGGTGAGTTTATATGTGCCGGTATATGACTCACTTTCTTTCTTCCTGGCATTTCACCGCCAGACAGACACAGCCAAGCAATGAGCTCAGACTGGAGATAAAGTCAACAGCCTGCACACACTTAGCTAAAGCATTTTAAGTATTATCCCCGTTTAATTTCCTTCCTTTTCTGCTGGTTTAACTCTATGAGCAAAGGCATCATTCAGTTTCTGGGTTCTGAACGTGTGTTGAATGGCTTTATGGGAAACTATGCAGCCAGACGCTACCTGCACACCCCTCTCAATGTGGCTCTGTCTGAGTGGCTAGGTTTATATTTAGCGTTGTGTTTGTTGGTGTGACTGGTTCAGTGCACAAAAAACTTCCTACCATCGCCCTGACTGCATGTCTACCACTTCCAAAAATGCTTTAAAAGGAAATTTTTACTAATTTTTTGACAGTTATTATCCATTTCCACTTCTCTCAACACCTCAAGCGGCGCATAGTCCTGCCGTACAGTAAGACCATAAGCTCTGTTCCAAAACATAGCCTGCTGCCTCCCTTTCTTTTAGCTACATACAGGCAGTATCCCTGTGAATTCGCCGTGGGAGGTGTTTATCTACCCTTGTCTGAAATAATGACAAGAATAACTGCAGTTGCAAAAGATGCAGTTTATTTCAGCCAAAAGAGAAAAAATGTCTAGCAGTGCTATCAAAGTGTGATATCATAATGTCATATTGTGTGATCAGCATTTTTTTCCTCATTAAAAAGTTTTACCCCCAAATAAAAAAATAGTATTTTTAAAATATATTTAACATGATGTACGCTTACATGAGATAAAGAATCCATATCAGTAGTCTTAAAAAAGCTGTTACGTTCTACGTGTTTGTTCATAGAGCATTAAATGAGTCCTAAAACCAGTTCCACTGTCCTGAAGCCTGGGGTTTTTATTTTATTTTTTTTAAGTTAGTTTTTGTTTAAATGCCTGAAATTAGGTTGTGTTAACACAAGCTAAAAATACTTTCATGTTTTATTCTATGACATAAAATACATCATTAATACCCCACTCATGATTTTTTTAAGCTTTTATGTGTTTTGAAAAGGCGGTTGCTATTAATAAGTGGCAGAATGGGATCACAGAGGCTGTCGGGGACATTAAATGTTATCAAACAGAAAAGGAAAACTCCCTTTTCAGCCTTTAGAGCTTGTGTTTATACTTGCTCTCTTACAAACTATTCAAATTCAAACTTTCCAACTTATGATGTTTTATTAACAAGGTTCGGGAGGAGCACGATCAGATAATCAACCAATTTGGCACAGGGGTAACTCGTTCAGTTAATCAGCTTAACTAGCACAATACATACATACATATATACATATATATATATATATATATACAGCCAGCTTACCTCTGTCCCACAACAGTTTTCCAGCATCCCTCCTCCACCCCAAGTCCTCACTATTAAACTATTCTCATCCCATACTAGGGATTGGGAGAGTTCTCTGGGTTCAGGCTATATTCCGAGCTCGGATCCCTCCCTCAGGACAGCACGCCAAATATGCTTACTATTTGCTAAATCCAATTATATGTAAGTGCAAACTCGTGAAGTAACTTTAAAAGACTTGTCGGCAGCCTAGTGTTGATGATGCCAAAGTTGTGCAACCATGGTGTAACTTTAGCTTTTTACTTCTGGTGATTGCATTTAGGTTTCAGAAATAATAAAAGCAGTATTCATTTTTGAATATTATCATGTTGAACAAAATGTGTAAGAATCATAAGCTTTTCTGCAATTATCCAGATGTCAGTAGAAAAATCCTATTGGCTTTTTGTCGAAGGAACCAGGGTGATGCTCTGGGTTAGCCTACAAAAATACATCATCCCTGTGGCACTCTATTTCTCCAGCTTAGCTAGCTAGCTAACCTGAGGAGCTGTTTGCATTGAGAATATCAGCAGCAAGCCTGTGCGTTGGTAATGGGTAATTTAAATGATTTTCAAGCAGTGTTGTTGTATTTTTACAATGTTGGAAGTATAAGAAGGGCTTTTGAAAAAACTACAGATCGTACTTCCACATTTTTGTATCGCCACTTACAGATAGTCTGATCTGCAGCCTACATAGTATGCTAACCGCAATAGAATCTCATAAGTAACTCATTTGGAACGCTCTACATACTGTAGCAGCAACTCTGCATGGCACAAATAGTGCTCATCACGTGAAGAGCATGAAAGATGCAACTGATTCTAACCAAGCTGTTGTAGAAGTACAGCAGAGCACTAGCAATACCATGTGTTTGATTCCCTTACGGTATAATGCAACTGTTAAAATGGTATGCCTTGACTGGAATGTAAGTCACTTTGGATACATGCATCTGCCAGATGTGCAAAGAAAATGTTAGCGTGTTTCTAAGCTAACAATGAAGCACTCGAATAAGCATACAAAGCACAAATAAGACATGTCACAATCAAAGCATTGTGGCCATGTAGTGCTTTTGGTGACCTGAGTTTAAGGTCCTTTCCAAGGGTGCGTTTCCCAAAAGCATCCTTAGCCAATTATGGTCACAAATTCTGTCATTACCAACATAGTTAAACGATTCAGTGTTTTCCAAAACCATAGTTCAAATGAACATTCGCAAAACAGCATCGCAAACTTACATGGTTAAAACTACAGCTCTCAACCTGTAGTTAGAAGCATAGCTACCTTTCACGAGTTCACACTTACATATAATCAGATTGAGCGAATAGTATGCATATTTTGCGTGCTGTCCCAGGGAAGGGTTCCTAGCTCAGAATTTAGCCCAAACCCAGAGAACTCCCCCTATCTCCAAGCTGGGATAGGAATAGTTAGGAGTGAGGAGTTGGTGTGGAGGAGGGATGCCGGAAAACTGTCGTGGGACAGAGGTAAGTTGGTTGTATATGTTTTTACTATCA